AAGTATAGGGGGAGGGCCTGAGAATCGTAGCAGGGTCTTCGGTTGGGCTGTGGGATGTATCCTAAACCCTAAACCTTAAACCCTATAAACCCTAAACCTTAAACCCTAAACCTTAAGCCCAAAACCCTAAACCTTAAACTCCTAAACCCAAAACCCTAAACCGTAAACTCCTGAACCCAAAACCCTAAACCCAAAACCCTAAACCTTAAACTCCTAGACCCAAAACCCTGAACCCTACTGTTATTCGTACTGTTACCCGTACATTGCAAGACCGGGGCCGCGGCCATGCCAGGAACTCGGGGAAGCCGGGCCAGCATTGGGAGTCTCAGGGTTTAGGGTTTAGGGTTTAGGGTTTAGGGTTTAGGGTTTAGGGTTTAGGGTTTAGGGTTTAGGGTTTAGGGTTTAGGCTTTAGGGCTTGAAAGATTTGGGCTTCCCGGGTTTAGGGATTTCAGGGCTTCGGGTTTGTAGGGTTTAGGGTTTAAGGATCAGGGTTTAGGGTTTAGGGTTTAGAGTTTAGGGTTTGAGTTTAGGAGTTTAGGGTTTAGGGTTCACGGTTTTGGGGTTTAGGGTTTAGGGGTTAAAGGTTTGGGTTCAGAGTTTAGTTCAAGGCGTTCTGGTTTAGGGCTTTGGGTTAAGGGTCTAAAGTTTAGGGGTGTGGTGGTCTAGAGCCCCTGAGCCTTAGAGGTGCGCAAGGTAGGGCGTCGGGTTTAGGGTCCCGAAGCCGCTATTATTTCGGGTCTCGGATTCAAAGCTTGGGGTCTAGAGTAGAGCCCCTGCACTTTGGAGGTGGGGTGTTGGGGAGTGCTGAAGACAGGGATTCTGGTTCCCGATTTAGGGTTTAGGGTTGAGGGTGTATCGGGTTGCCAAGGATTCAGGAGCAGGGATTGAGAATTCAGGGTCGCGGATGTTAGGACTTGGGGGGTTTGTGCAGAAAAGGAGTTTGGAGCGTAGGACACAAGGCTTCAAGACATGAAAGCGTGGAACCACAACCCCTAAAACCCAAACCCGAAAGCAAGCAACTAACCAACACCACGCAGATCAGATCTTAGAACCACAATCGACTGTCTTCCACAGCTTGAAAACAGGGCTGGTATGTTTGCGATAGGACGCTCAGCACATGGGACAGAATGGCATGAGTACTGTTGCAGTGATCCCCGGTATTCTTGCCTCTAGTATCCAATTTTCAGCACCCCTATCGGAATCAAAGCTACTATACCATGCCCCACCATACCATGCCATGCCATGCCATGCCATGCCATGCCATGCCATGCCATGCCATGCCATACCGTACGATACTATACTACACTATGCTATATCAATATCATGTTGTGCTGTACTATACTATACTACAGGCTACTGCTCAAGTGCTTTTTCAGCTGGGGTGCGAGGGCTTAGGGGTTGCCGCTTCACGAAACCTCTTCAAAGTTTTGGGCTGCGAGACTTTACAATCGTATCGGGCCTACTACAAAAACAAACAGAAGAAGGCTCTCTTCAATCCGCAACTCCTGAACCCCGGACATTCGCTTAAGGCCCCGAACCCATAAACCCTAAACTCTTAACCCCCTGAGCCCTAAACCCAAACCCTAAACAAACCGCCAAACCCTAAACCCTATAATCCCAAATCCCTGTAAGCCCTACAATCCCTATAATCCCTATAATCCCTATAATCCCTATCATCCCTATGATCCCTATAAGCCCAACCCAAACCCCCACCCCCCTTGGCCGAGGGCTGAAACACACGCCGATCCAGAGGATGGCTATGTAGAGGAGACGGAGCCCCGACCTGCCGGTTGAGGCTTTCAAGTTTCGGGTTTAGGGTTCAGGGATCAGGGTTTAGGGTTCAGGGTTTCGGGTTTCGGATTTCGGGTTTAGGATTGAGGGTTTCGGGTTTAAGGTTCAGATCAGGGTTTAGGGTTCAGGGTTTAGGGTTCAGGGCTTAGGGTTTAGAGTCTAGGGTTCAGGGCTTAGGGCTTAGGGTTGAGGCTTTCGGGTTTAAGGTTCAGGGTTTCGGGTTTCGGGTTCAGGGTTTCGGGTTCAGGGTTTAGGGTTTCGGGTTAAGGGTTTAAGGTTTAGGGTTCTGCGATCAGGAATGAGGGTTCAGGGTTTGAGGTTTAGGGTTCAGGGATCAGGGTTGAGGGTTCAGGGTTTAGTTTCTTTCCTTAGCACATTTCTCCACCTAGCAGCTGAGGTCGGCAGAATCGGGCTTCGGGCTTTGGGTTTAGAGTCTAGGGTGTAGGGTTTAGGGTTCAGGGTTCAGGGTTTAGGGTTTAAGGTTTAAGGTTTACGGTTCAGGGCCTAGGGTTTAGGCTGTTTAGGGTTTCGTGGGCTTAATGGGCTTAGTGTTTGGCCTTGACAAGGTTCCATCCCGTCGGAGCCATTGAGAGTTCTTTGGCAAAGCCACAACTCCAGCCGGGTTTAGGGTTTGGGGTTTGGGGTTTTTAGGGCTTAGGGTTTAGGGTTTTAGGGCTTAGGGTTTAGGGTTTTAGGGCTTAGGGTTTAGGGGTTTAGGGTCCCTAAACCCTAAACCCTAAACCCTAAACCCTAAACCCTAAACCCTAACGGTTTCAGGTTTGGGGGTTTAGGGTTTAGGGTTTTAGGGACCGAAAGGCGTCAGATCCTGAGTACTTGGAGCT